ACTGAACCCCCCCCCCCCCCCGAAGCAAATTTGCTTCTGTCAGGAAAATTTGCTCCTGAAGGGTGCATTATTAGACACGCTGCCAAGGAAAGCTTACTGTGCAGTATTTTACGGTGCAGTAAGTTTACTGCATATTAATAGTGCATGTAGACATGCCCATTGTGTTGTAACACTATGGTCTAAATCCTATTTTACTTAGTAGGACAGGGTCATGTACATCGCTGAGCCTGTGTCGCTTGCTTCCCCACAAAGTACTTTAACCATCAGGCCAAGGGCTTGGCATTGCCCAGAAAACCTCTACACTCTTTTTCTTGAAGCTGTCCCACTGATTTTTCATTAAATGCCCAAGTATCTATTGGATTAAAAAGTGACTTGCTTTAACAACAACATCACTTGGTGCCTGGTGCTATGTTGTTTCTAACATGTTGCTACTAATGGGCATCAATTGCAATCATTATATCATTACTCTTAAACTTGCTTCCCTCTCTACCTTCTGGTTTAAGGTTCCAGCTATATGTGACCTAGAGATAATAGCCTTTCTTGTAAACTTCTCTCATCTCCATAAAAAAAAGAAACAGAAATGTACCTTATCTATCACTTATTGTTGATGAAACAAGGAGAGAGGAGCTTACACTGGTTCCTGAGATAGCTAAGTAAATGTATCTGAAGATTGACTGATATTCAAGTTTTGAGGAGATGAGTAATAAGTAAACTTAGAAAAAAAGGGGGGGGATTTTGCCCAATTAAACCAAATCAGTCTTTTGTCATTCATCTCTGATGTGCATGTTGTGAGCTAGAGGATTTGCTACATAGAACAGTCTTGTAAAGAATGTACTAATCCACATCTTCCTTGAACTCCTATGTGGCTTTGGTTGTCCATACACAGAGCATATATGTGTGACTGCAGCAGTTGTAAAGCAATGTGGAGCTAAAATGAATGGGGTTGAAAAGTGTTGCCGTTATTCTAGTGTTCTCCAGCATGACAGCATATTGCAGATCACAGGGATTTATTGCAAGCTATTTCTTCAATGATCTCCACTGTAGTTTGTTCATTATGCCATTCCATTGCCAGAAACAGTAAATCTATTAACAACATACTCCCTGGTGTTTTGGATACACGGCTCCAAAATGGGGTAAAAAATAATCCTTACATTTTGCCCCACTAAAACCAACCCCCTGGCTACTAGTGCTAGAACTCAGATCAGAAACATTAGAAGGCTGAAAGCTGCCAAGTGTGTTTGCCAACAATTCATTTTGTGCACTTTTCAATTTAGAGAACCAGCCCTCAGTCTCAGTTTTTAATTTGGTGCTTTAGATGAAATCCTATTTGGGGAGATCAATGAGAGGTTAACCGAAGCCTAGGCAGCTGCAGTGGTTAAAAGTCGACAGCTTTGATTGGATGCCAAACTGACATCTAGGTTTTATTTTTCTGTTTTACATTGTCTTGTTTCCCCAGCCTGCAGCCACAACACATAATACTACAGTTATCAAGCACTGGTAGCAAATATTAGTATGCTTATCACAGCATCGTTCATTACCATACATTATAATTTTACAAACCTACAAATAACAGGCAAAGAAGAAAAAAAAACAACAACAACAATGCGTATTTAATGCTATTGAATTTCTGAAAATGTTCTGGCTTTCTTG